ACCGAGCAAGCACACAAAAATGTCTCTGCAAAGCAAAAACTAGGGACTTTGGAAGCTGAAGCTCACCCTCTCCTTGAGTGGTGGGAATATTTAAAGTTTTTGAAGGATTTTCTTCCCCTAATTTAGGGTTGGTCAGTTTGAAGAAAGACAGGATGGCTGATTGGCCCTCAGCAGGGGACACTAGTGGAGGGAGGGAATGCCCATAAGGCCTTTATTTTAAACTGCCAGGCTTTTGTCTTAGGTTAGGAGGGTGAGGAAGAAGCCAGCCATCTTGAAAGTTCATCATCTTCATTAATTAGTCATGGATGGTCCCCCTCCCTGTCTTTCTACCTATCCCAGTACGTCTAACTCCAGGTTCCTCATAATGAAAGGAGATTGAAAAAAAAAATTAACAAAGGAAACAGGTATATAGATTAAATCACCAAGGAAACTAGGTGTCTGCTTCCAGAGTTCCACTCCATGCAGTCACAGAAGGTATGCTTAAATTTTCCAGCTTCAAAGGGAAACATGTTTAAGATATTTGCCAGAAGCAGGGCTTGTTAGAAGTTTATTGTCCTTGGGCTGGAGTGATGGGTCAGCAGTTAAGAGCACTTGTTGTTCTTGTAGAGTACTTGGATTCGATTCCCACCACCTATAACTCAAGTTCCAGAGGATAAGATGCTCTTCTGACTTCCTCGGGCATCAGGCACACACATGGTGCACAGGCACACATGCAAGCAAAACATCCGTACACATAAAATAAATATAAATAGATTTTTGTTTGTTTTTTTGAGACAGGGTTTCTGTGTGTAGCTTTGGGACATGTCCTGTCCTGAAACTCGCTCTGTAGACCAGGCTGGCCTCAAACTCACAGAGACCCGCCTGCCTCTGCCTCCCCAGTGCTGGGATTAAACGTGTGTACCACCATTGCCCAACATAAATCGATTTTTTTAAAAAAGAGATTTATTGTCCAAGGCTTCTTTTGGAGTCTGGTCCTATATCATACTTTGGGGAGAAAGTAAAGTGCTAAGGTGAATTGTAGTGCTTGTGTGCTAAGGTGAATTGTAGTGCTTGTGCAGTTGAGGCACTGGGTACCTACCTACCTACTCTCACTAATTAGGGAATGAAAGCTATTGAAATCCAACTTTGTGATACAGGCCAAGGATCAGCTTGTAGTTAACACCTGCTGTGCTGATTTTATTAATTCATTTCAGCACACCATGCAAGCCTACTCCCATCCACATTTATCTGGCATGCCTGTGCTATGGTTTAATGTTTTCCTCTGGCTTGGCCTGCTGCTACTATTTTGTAGTAGTCACCTATGTATCATTCCTTTCTAGAGGCTTGGGATAATCCAAAACACCTGAGGGTGACAGTTACACATTCATTTTGAATTGTAACATAACACTGACACACTACTTAAAAAAAAAAAATAAAACAGGAATAGTACTGTTTGTGAATCTACAACTTGCTCTTCTCCTTTTACTATGTTAGGGACATTCCTTTCAGTGAGTAAGGAGACAGGCTCCTTTTCATTATGCTATTCATGCAGCAGCCATTTCTTTATTGATGGGCATCCAGTGTTTGCTTTTAGCCCCCTTGAGAGACTTGCAGTGAACTTTCATATGCATACATCTTATTGCCTTGTGCTTCACTACAGTAAGATCATCCTGAAGGATGGTGTGACGGGTAGAGTGAATATCCACCTGTCTTGTCCATATTATAAATTGCTGTATTTCTGTTATACTTTCCAAAAAGTTTTATGCTTTGTGGTGTTTTTTAATTTTTATCTTGTTATTTTTATTTACTGTGAGTACATGTGTATGTCATAATGTATATGCAAGTCAGAGGACAACCAGAAGGGACCATTTCTCTCTCTTTTCACATGAGAATCCTGGGGATCAAACTCCAGTTGTCAGTCAGGTTTGGTGGTAGGCACCTTTATCTGAGGAGCTAACTCTCACTAGCTCATTTCTCTCAGCTGCTTAGGTTCATACTTTACAGTCTTTCTTTGTTATAGTCTAGTTTTCCCCTTATCATTGTCTCTTATACATTCACAGGAGAAAGAATGGAATTTCTTTAAAAAATTTTATTTATTGTCTGATGGGGGTGAGGCAAGTGGAAAGGTGCCTTAGCACGAGGGTGGAGGTCAGAGGAGCATCTGCAGGAATCACTTCTTTTCTTCCACTGTGTGGGTCCTGAGGATGAAACTCCTGTTGTCAATCTTGGTGACACCTACTGATTCATCTTGCTGGCCCCTGAAAGTTTATTTAAGGTCCTCAGTGCTGCTCAGCAGCATGCACATAAAAATAAATATCTTTTAAAAAATCACATGGAGAATCCAGTTTATATACAATGGCATTTACATTTTGATTATAGGTAATAGATGTAGCAGATGTATACAACTATATAACTCCACTCCAGTCAGAGCACTTATATCTGTTAGAAAATTCTCTCTGGGCGTTCAAAGGGTTTATATGTGGTACAGGCTATTAGTAAAATTACTAAATTCTCAGAGAAGGAAAGCCCTGGAGAAGGAGCCCAGTTCCTGTTAAGTACCATGTAGATTCATAGAATTACAGTTTTGAAATATCTTGCCACTAGCCTTGAAGGGGAGTATGGCTAAAACATTGGAACTGTGGGACGGACATGTGAAAACCTAGAGATAGATAGATAGATAGATAGATAGATAGATAGATAGATAGACAGACAGACAGACAGACAGACAGAATGTGTGAGTGAGGGAGTCTGTATGTTTCTCTGTGGGGAAAGCATGGGCGGTTGACTGTAATGACAGAATTGAATAACTTTTTTCCTATTCTTTGAATGTCAGCCCATTACATTTTGAGATCTGCATAATGTGTGCATGTGTCTTAAGTACTAAGGAGAAGATACTTGCTAACTTTATGAAACAAGCACTAAATAAAGTTTGAGAAAGGAGAAAAATAAGAAAAGGGTGAGCCTGTAGTGGCAGGAGCCCATGAAGACAAATGCTAGTAAGAGTGATGTCTTGACAGAAATAGGGTAGGTAGACAGTCTTTCGGATGCCAATGGGGACAGGGACCATTGTATTAAATAAATACTCCTTATCTCAGCCCGGGAAATATTGTGATGCAACCATGTTTGTTTGTTTGTTTGTTTGTTTTGATACAGAATCTCACTATGTAGCATAGGCTAGCCTCAAATTTATGCTCTTGCCTGTGCATGCTGGTACTTACAGGAATGTGCCACCACATATGGCTGTATCTCAGTTCTAACATGGTGATAATGAGGCTGATGAAAACTAAGTAATTAGAGCTTTTGCTTTTAAGTTTTCTCTATATTCCTGTGAACATACCCTTACCATCTTTCTTTGTGACATTCAATTTGCCATTCTTGAATACTGTAGTCATCTTGGCCTTTGACTTTGTTGCGATGGTCCTTACATTGACGATAAAGGAGTCTAATCATGCATTTAGCTTGAATCTGTTATTTCAATTGTGTGTGATGCCACTCATTTCTATTTTCTCAGTCTACTTACATTCCTCCATTTCTTCCATTAGAAAGGCCAGATTTAAGCTCTCTGCAGTACATTATAGCCTCTTCCAGTTTCCTACATACTTTCCTTTCTTACTGGTTTTATTTGGTTACATCCCCATTGCCATTCAGCCTTAAGAAATGGTTATGCTTGTTGTTTATAGTGTGTGTTCTCTAGAAAGCTTATTTAGAACAAAGTAGATACTATTTTTGTGTATGATGCTTTTCTTCAATATGCAGAACATTTACTTATTCCTGTTATGAAACTTAGACTCTAGACTGACTAAAGAGGGTAGCTGGACAGTTTCCTCCATATTTTCATAGATTTCTTTCTCAGTAGACTGCTTGAATGACAAGACTAATCCAGAGCACCATGTAAATGGACAGGCCCCACTTGAGTGATGGATAGAGAACCAGTAGCCAGGAGAGCTGTGTGCTCTGGGAGCCTCCTTTGGAAGTTTTAGTTTCATGAGAGAACATTCTTTCAGTTTTAAGTTGTGGGTTTTTTTTTTTTTTTTTAAGTGGATGCTTCCTGTAACCAAGCAGGCGGGAAGGACTCAGGGATTATGGTTGGGGTGGTTGTGTCTAGAGTGGATATCACTTTACTATTCCTTATGCTACTCCCCCTTCCCCCCCAATGTCTTTCTGTTATCATTGTTCTCGTCTTAAATGTTTTCTAGAGCTCTACTAGAGGAGTGGTAGGTACATTTGTCTACCTAAGACTTCTGTGTTTATTACTGGATATGATTCCCTTTGTTGTAGTACACTGTTAATTTTGAGTAGTTGTTGCTTTCTCCTGAATTTCAGTGAGGTAGAGGGAGAAAGAGGAAGAACCATTTCTCTAGTCATGATACCCTGAACAAGAGGATCTTTCTGTTGGCAACTTTGAACTTTTTAGTTTCCGAAGAGTTAAACTTAAATGCAAATAGTTTGAGATTATTGTAATGCTAAAATGCATGTTACCTATTTATGAATAGTTTGTACTCGAAAAATGTGTATGGCTGGGTATGTAGCTCAGTGACACAGCTCTTGTCTAACATGTGCAGAGCTCTGGGTTTGATCTGTCAGCACAAAGTGCATGTGTGCATGCATGTGCACACACACATGCATGTGGAAGAGAGCGGGGAAAGCCGGAAGTGCCATACTAATCCATCACCATTAGGTACTGCTTGATCATTGGGACCCCTAGCAAGGTACAACTTACCCAGTAAAGTTTACATTCTATAATTGGAAGGAACTTACAGTTTCCCAGTGTAAATAAAACTTGTCAATTTTTTGTTGCCTTCCTTGAAATGACATTAAGATGAAAACTTTCATACTTGTGAAGGAAAGCTATGTCAGTTAAAGAAAATTGTACTATATGGTAGCTATGTGGTTAGGTTGCAAGTTGTGTTGAATAAAAACAAATTTGCTGTATTTCTTATAAGTGAAAATGAATCTGTGTGCAACATTATTTATATTTCTAAATCCATTTTGGGAAAGTTAATTGCAACTGTGTGGTTCAGGGATTTAGTGCAAGAAGAAGAACAGTTGATGGAAGAAAAGAAAAAGAAAAAAGACGACAAGAAAAAGAAGGAAGCTGCTCAAAAGAAGGTAGTATATGATAAACTTTGTTAAGCAGTTTGAACATAGAATAAAAGAAAGTTACTCATGGCTTTTTTAAAGCGTCTGCTTAAGTTTAACTTCATTGAAGATTCATTTTAATATTTAATGTCTTTGAATGTACATATATAGTAGTTTGCTGAATGTGTAATTCAATGCATGGATAATCTTGCCACTGGTGAGTTCTTTAAGGTAAGTACATCTCATAGGTCTTTTTCTTTCGATTAGTGATTCCTGTCTATTTCATTATAATTTTATAAGTGGAAAGAGCACAGGATTTGTAGCTATACAGCTATATGTAGTTTAATGGCTATAAAGACAGACTGGGTTTTGAAGCTTTATTTGCTCATATAATCATAGAACGATATGTCCATCAATTTTATGTAGCCTTCGTGGGCCTCAATTTCTTTACATTTTGTAAAACAAGAGTTGAGTTAAATGAGGTAATAAAATACATGTGCAAAGCAGGAAATAAACTATATTTAAGCAAGTTTTGACATGATAAAGAATAAAAGTCCCTTTTTATTTGATACCTGTCCTGACTTTATAAATTTTTGGTTTAAATTAAGATACTTTAAAACAAGCCTAAGGCACTTGCTGGAGAAGAACTCCAGGCACAATCAGGATCAGAGACTGGCCTCAAAGCAGAGCATGCTAAGGAGTTTACCCTCAGTCTTCTCTATCAATCTTCACAGACCTTAAAATGTTCTAAAAGGCCCAGCAAGTTACTATTCCATTTATTTTAATGACATGTCCTACTGTGTTTTTACAATATGTCCCCCTCTTAGGTAAGGCATTGTGCTAGGAACTGGGTGTAACTACAGCACAGCACTTCCCTTATCACCATTCACTAAGAGGCAGCATACATAAGGCATACAGACACGAAGCATGTCTTTTTGGGAAACTATTGAAGCACAGAGGAAAATACCTTAGCCTGACATGGAGCAAGTCGGACAGGACATTTTCTTAGGATAGAAATGAGTCAGGTGATTAAAGAGCAGAAAAGTACCCAAAGCACAGTAAACTCAGAACCGGGAATTTGAAGACTGTGTGTCCTAAAATGTAGAAGCTTTTGGCGAAGGTGGTGTAGGAATATCAGGAGAAGTCTCAGAAGGCAGTTAATGGTAGATAAATTCTCTTCTTCAGGCTTTGAGTGTTGAGGAAATTATTGAAAATATTTTAGTAAGAGTGACATGAAAGTTTGTATTTTTACCTTAGGAAAGTGTTGAGTTGGACCAGAAAGGGATTTGACAGGCTTAAGGGACTATGTAATCCGTAGAATTTGTTAGTGACTATGAAGATATAACATCCTAGCTTGACTGGATTCCATATTGAGTGGTTAAGTATGTTTGGGAACAGTTAAACTGCTTAGAGTACAGAAAAAGAAGTGATAAATGAATCAGTTCTAGGTATGCTAAACTTTGTGCCCCATTAGCAGGTTTTATGGAGAAGGGTGGAGTACAGAGCCTTTTGAAGGACTGTGAGGAGAAATGGTAGGTGACACTAGTCTGACTGCTCTCAGGGGAAGCTGAAAAGAATACATAGTATATGCATTGTATGATTTTGGATAGAGCTCTAGTATAGAGTCTTGTGTTGGCTGATTCCTCAGGCCTCCACCAGAGGCTTTTTGATATTGGATGCAATTTGGTCCATCTTTATTTGCTATTTATGAGTCTAAAGTTGGGAAAAGCTTACAGTACCCTTGAGCCATATGGTGTCATTTGCCCATAAAAGAACTCCTGGGATAAACTAGAGATTGGTGAGGAGGCTTCTTGGTGTGCTTAATGTAGAATCTTGTTTGGCTAGCATCTGAATGTTGCCTTATGCCTTGTTGGTGCTAAGTAGTTCAAGATTTAGGTAGTAAGTTATAGTACAGCATGTTTGGGAAAGAGCCTAAAATAATATTTAAGCCTAAAGTAATACTTAAGCATATGTGTTTAGAATTTGCCATGTTCACTGAGGAAATTCTGCAAAAGGAAGACACTTAGTAGAATAATTTCTGTAAACACTATTTTGTGATATAATTTTAAGTCATAGCATATAATAATGACTCGATTGTGAAAGTTCATTTTTAACTTTCCTCACAATCAACTCTCTAAATCACCAAGTCAGCAAAGCTACTTCCTTATGTGTGCATAAATTTACATATAGCACTTGAACAGCATTTATCCTGTTATTTGGCATCTCATCAAATCTTCAGTGACTGCTTTTTACTTTTTGTTTTGTTTTGTTTTTGTTCTTTCGAGACAGGGTTTCTCTATGTAGCTTTGGAGCCTATCCTGGGACTCGCTCTGGAGACCAGGCTGGCCTCGAACTCACAGATCCACCTGCCTCTGCCTCCCGAGTGCTGGGATTAAAGGCATGCGCCACCAACGCTGCTTTTTACTCTTTTTCCCACTTTTTCCCTGCCTCAGCTAGTGGTTCCACCATCACACTCTGATGATGTCCCACTAGAACCATTCATTAGAGGCTGAGAGATAAAAGTGTTTGCTTTTCCCAGACCTTCCACATGAGTAGAGTATTGCTGTGTATCCTATCAGTCCACTAAACAGTCTAAAGGAAAGTTAAAAAGCCCTCAGTTATTGTAAAATTTCGTTGTCTAGACTGCCACTGTAAAAACAGCTTCTCCAAGTTGCAGAAAACCAGCTTATAACTGAATTTGAATGCAACCTGTTGGCAAAATAAGGACAGCTGGTATTTCCCTACACAGCTACCAAATAGCTCCTTAAAAAAAAGAAACTCCCAGATTGGCCTATATGAAAGACTGTGAGTCACAAACTGTTAAGACAAGCTTTGTGGAGCTTTCTTTTTGTTTCTTGTAGGAGCCAACAAGTAAATCCCAGTAGGTGGTAGGAGACAAACATAATTCAGGTGGGCAGGCTCATTTACATGAGTGTTTGAACATTAACTCATCATAATCTGCCTGCTGTATGTATGAACCATGCACTTTCACTTCTAAAGAAGACTTCAGCTGTTACCTGTTCTAATCTGTTTGTTCAGTGTAAGGTGGCTAACCTTGGTTTCATCATGGCAACAGAAGCAGAAGTAAAATTGAAACATTGTTTTCTTATTGGGTGTCTATTCAAAACTATCACAGCGCTCTGCTTTCCATGCAGTATTATCTTGTGTTTCTGCTTTATTTTCACCATATACAGGTGAATTTTTAAATTGAGATATAATATATTAAGGAACATAAAGTGTAGGTTTTCATGCTGTGAATACAGAAAACATTTAGATTTAACTCCCTAAGAGCACCTGTGTGCCTTTGAAATCTAAGTTCATACCATGAGCTATTTTCTGCTTCAAATAAAGAACCAAGTAACACAGTTTCTTTGAGTACTGGATATTAAACACAGAGCATTGAGCATGCTAAGCAAGCTCTCTACACTGAACCAGATTCCTATGCCCCTCCCCCTTGACACACCTCAGAACTCATTGTAGTGTTTTGTTTTGTTTTTCGAGAAAGGGTTTCTCTGTATAGTTTTGGAGCCTATCCTGGCAATCACTCTGGAGACCAGGCTGGCCTCGAACTCACAGAGATCCGCCTGCCTCTGCCTCCCGAGTGCTGGGATTAAAGGCGTGCGCCACCACCGCCAGGCTCATTGTAGTATTTTTTAACTGTAAATGTTTCTTATTTTATTACTTAAGTTATATATATAAATATTTAGTCTTTCTCAAGAGAAATTCTATATAAAAATGGGGGTACTTTTTAAAAATGATATTACCCATCCTAGTAAATGAACATGGAGCTCAGTGAGCTGATGACTTCATTTTGACATTTTTTTTCTGTTCTAAAAATCTGGCTATATATGTACAATACTTTTATATAATGAAGAATCTTCTGGTTCTTAGACCTAGAAACTAATTCAATGAAGTACAGGCATAGTTTTAACCATAAAGAGGGGCTAGGGCAATAGCAGCAACACAGGGTTCACACGAACTTCTCCCCAGGTTCCATTTTCAGAAGAAAAATTTCAAAAGGAATCTTCAGGGAACTGTAGTGAAGAAAAGGGAAGTTGAGAAATAGGTTGATTATAGAGGGGTAATTTAGAATATTCTTCATTTAAACATGTGTTTGTAGTTCCTAGAAAGCATATAATAGTGAAGGGTTGGGGAAAACAATACAAATTGGAATTTCCTGGTATAAACTTTTATTTAATCATTCATGCTATTTTAGTTGCTGTTTGAATTGAAGAGACTTTTACAGGTTTTATGAATGTGAATTATTAAAGCCTAAAAGAGGCTGTGGAAATGTCTGTTTCCTTCCCTTTTGGAAATGCTGCTTATTTAGTCTCATGAGTGTGTTTCTCTGTAACCTTGGTGATAACATGGCCAGATTGAGGAGGCACTCATTGAGGGCAGTGAGATGTTCTGTCCTTTCACACTCCTCACTCTGCCTCAGTTCTGAAGATTAGTATTCAGCAGACCAGGGTTTTAGACTAGATGTCATTTGTTAATTCCTAGGAAATACTGTTGAGTAGTAGTTATCATTTTTAAAAAGTTGGGTTGAGGCCTTTAATCCCAGCATTTGGGAGGCGAAGGCAGGTGGAATTCTTGAGTCTGAGGCCAGCCTGGTCTACAGAGTTCCAGGACAGCCAGAAGTATACACACACACACACACACACACACACACACACACACACACACACACACACACACAGAGAGAGAGAGAGAGAGAGAGAGAGAGAGAGAAAGAGAGAGAAAGAGAGAGAGGAGCTAGATTAATTCTTTATTCCTTTGTGTCTTAATTTTTTTTTTTTTAAACATCCTGACCAAAGTTTCCCCTCTCTTCTTCAGTCAGTACCCTGCCTCCCACATGTCTCATCCACCCCTCTGTTTCTATTCAGAAAAGGGCAGAGTTGAAAGGGCAAGATCATTTAAAAGTAAAAAAGAAACAGTTTTTAATCCCAGCACTTGGGAGGCAGAGACAGAAACATCTATCTCTATTAGTCAAAGGCCAGCCAGGCCTACGTATTGAGACCCTATTTTAAAAACAACTCAAGAAAACATTAAGGACAATTCTAATATATTTATGTCATTTGGTAGAGCCCAGATAGTGCTGTTTTATTTAACACACAACCAATATAAAATATTGTTAGTGAAGTAGTTATTTGAAAAATGCTCACTATTAGAAATCTGGTATATATTTTACAGATCTCCGTTTAAACTGACCTCATTTCAGTTGTCAGTAGTCATATGTATGACTAATGGCTATGGTTTGGGGGCAGTGGAGACAATTACTATTAAAATACTGGGCCCACATGGAAATTTTCATTATAATAATTTGATGATCATACTAGAGTCTTGGACTGGCCTCCAGAAACCTGCTTTTAAAGAAGCAAAATTCAGCCACTTCCACTTGCTTCTCATCGGTTGATTTCTATTGCCTTTATGCCTTCACCCTGGTAGGTCAGTGCTCAGGGTGAGATACCTCAGATTACCTCCTGCAGGTGACAATACTGGTGAGGCTGTCCATTGTTTCAGAACAGCTGCTTTTAACCTGTGAGCTGCAGCCTTTGGGGGATGGGGATCAAACGACTAAGGGTCACTTAAGACCATTGGAAAACACAGGTAATTAATTACATTATGATTCATAACACTAGCAAAATTACAGTTATGAAGCAGCAACGGATCTAATTTTATGTTTGGGGGGATAGTCACCACAGCATGAAGAATTAAATGGTTACAACATTAGGAAGTTTAAGAATCATTGTTCTAGAACAAATAAAACTGCTTTATCACACCCGCATGGTCTTTTAAAGCCTGGAAAAGTATCACTGTATGCCTTTGGTTTTAATAATGTCATAATTTCTGCATCTTGCAATTTATGTTTCTTTGAAAAAATATAGTTTGTTTTGTTTTTTAAGAAAGGCTTTGGGCTTACAAAGTAATTCATATTCTGACTCTGGCTTTATAAGATTATTAAACATATAAATAACATGGTACTTGTAACACTTCATAGACTTCTAAGTTCTCTGTAAGAATTTTTTTCTATAATCTTGATTTTCAAAATTACTTCTCCCTAAAATAAATAACTATTGTCTAGCCAGCTGACAGGCCTTTTAGCATTACCCTTCCATCACTGTTTTCCTTTTAATTTTGATCCATAAGATACAAGATGGGCCTCCATTATTTTGTGTATCTCTAGTGCTCTAAAACTGGACAAAGCACCATAGTGGAAGATGAACATTTGGTGTGGCTTCAAAAGTAGAGTAACTGCTGTAGTTTTTATTATATATATTTATAATGGTATAACTTATAATGGAATTTTTGGTAGCTTAGTAATTTTATTTGATTAGGCAAAATGAATTATGCTTTGAGGCAGTTAAGTAAAACTGTCATAATTAAGAAATAATTCTTTGTTATTCAGTTACATAATATTCATCCCTTTCTAGTCAGCCTGAATCTTTTTGAATCTTTTACTTTCAGGTCTCTGTACAGCAATTATGATGAGAAGGTGATTGTGCTTGGGGACTTCTCTTGCATTTCACAGTTCTTGCCAAGGCCCTTGCAGTTTGAACTGGGTGCCTAAGTCAACTCCACTGTCCTCCAGTCTTCTTCTCAGTGTTGGTGTCAGAGAGCTAGCTAGTAAGCATAGGCACAGGCCTTGGGAAGCAGGGTTATCAGATCAGCTGCTCATCAGTCATTTACATGAGATTTGTCAGAAGCTACAAGTTAGTTTAAAAAAGTTTTCCCATTTAGCAATACTGAAAAGTTGACAATATTAATTTAACTATAATTAAGTTAACTATATTAATATATGATGAAATTTATGTACTATATATGTAATATAGATATCTATGTATAACATATAGTTGATAGTATATTAAGTTGGTCTCCAGAAGTTAAATTTATTACGAATTTGGCCAAAGTGATTATTTATAACTTTTGCAGAAAGTATAATTCATCTGTGATTATTTGAAGCCACTCAGACATGCAAAATTTGTTTAAAAACCTATTTATACAAAGGTGATAATTATGAAACTATTTTAAGTATAGCATGAGAAAAATGCAGCTCACCTTTGAAAAATTATAAGCCACCATAAAATGTCTTCTATGCTTTATGTCTAACAAATCATTACAGAATTTTTTATTAGTAAACATAATATGAAGAACAATGGGGCACATCTGTGGGAAAAGAATGCTTTGCATGTCTTTTCCTGTACAGTTCATCTAAAGATAATTTCTTTAATAAAAATGTATATCTTATATAATAGTAATATATGAGCATTTTATCATAACAATTCATTTCTTTCCGTTTCATATTTACATTGTTTTTTGTTTGTTTGTTTTCATTTTAGGCCACTGAACAAAAAATCAAAGGTACGTTATTTAAAGCTATTTCTTCTTATTTCATTAAAACAAAGTTGTTTATGTGCATTTTTATTCACTTTGGGATGGGAGAGAAGTTTATGAAGAAAACTGGGGTGGGGCAGACTACTTTGAGGTCACCTTGGTGTCTTCCTTTGGGGCTTATTTATGGTGAATATCACCACATGGAGAAGATACTGCCCTAAAGCTGTTTTCTGATGCTGTCTGATGAGAGTCTTGGGTACAAGCCTTCCTTTTGGTCTTTCATTCTAAAATCTTGTATGCAGGGGCGAGGTGGGGTAAGGTGAGATTCCTGCCTGCTTTGCTCCTTGTTCTCTGTCCTTTACAAAGGCACAGTAGTGGCACCTATTCTTGTATTATCATCTAAGTAATAAATTGCTAACCCCACAGTCATTGAACCAGGTTACCTAGTGGACCCTGGGCTGAAGACTTAGAGCTTAATCCCTCCTAAATCCTAAACTTCACAGCCCTTGAATACTTAGTAGTGAAAGTTATACAGCCCAGAGGCTGAACTTAATTGGGGTTTTAGCCATGTCAGAAATACGTTCTCTATCTCATTAGTATGTGTACTCAGTAGTACAACCTTTGGTTATGAGATTGACATTAGTTAAGGTGGCATCTATTAGAGTAAATAAGAACAGATAAAGCCTATATTTTACTGAAGAAAATGTTTACATGAATGAACCTAAGGAGAAACTGAGAGACAGGAATTTGAGGGTGTAAGTGGATTGATTTACAGTTCTGACCAAGGCTGGAGAGAAGTACCCAGTCTCTCCACTTTGGCGATACCAGTGTTGATTTCTGGCTTCAGGGCTCCCATGAGTGGCCTGTCTTCACCCCACCTGGTAGTTTCTGGAGAACTTCTAATCTCTGGGGAGGTAAGTCAGCCATGAATTTAACCTCAAGGAGCCATGTAAAGTGCTGAGCATGACAGCTTGCTGTTACAATCCCAGTGCTGGAAATGGATGCAGGATAATACCTGGAGCAATTTGTGAACTCCAGGCCAGTGAGAGACCGTGTCCTGAAGAAGATGGATGGCATTTCTGAGGATGACACTCAAAAAGTGGTGCATACAAGAACACGGGTGTCTGCATAAAAAAAAGAAATTTTAATCCTTAAGGTCCCTATTGCATAGTGGACATTGGAGGTATTCTCAAACAGAACATAATACAATGTAGCTTGGCTGATTAATTGTTTAAGTTGTCCTTAAGCAATAGGGAGTGCTGTTTCACCTGGCAGGAATGAAGGAAAGTCTTCAGATTAGGATTCAATGGCCAAAGAATGAAATGCAGGAAGGATGAGTTAGTTCAGATCCCAGAGAAAAAACGGTGTGGTATTATGTGCAGTGGTAGCAATCCAAGAGCCTTCAACACAGAGTCTGGAATGGAGAGAGTTGAGGCTGAAGAAATAGGTGAGAATCCAGTCAAAGTGAGCTTTATGAATTTATGTAAATGTTATATGTTCATATATAAACATACTAAGGAGCTTAGACTTTTATAGGCAGCTAGGAGCCTCTAATAAAGAGCTTAAGCAAAAGAGTGGCATGGTTTATTTATTTTGTTTTGAGACAGGGTTGCTTCTGTATCCCAGGCTAGGATATTCTGAATGGTAGATATTTTTTTTTTTCATATTTTAAAGGTGTTAATCTCTGTGAATGGAAAAAAAACTGGCTGAAACATGAGTGGAGATTTAATAGTGCTAATATATTATATAAATATATTTCTGGACAGAGGAGATGGGTAGACAGAATAAGGATGGAACATTTGTCTCTGCATTAGGGGTATTGGGATTGACAAAATGCAGGCCTAGAGACTTAGTGATCATGGAGAAGCAAGACCAGAGAGGGAAGAGAAAGAATACAGCGTAAATAGATGAGATGCCAGGTGTAATAGATAAGAGTTACAGAGCTGCTCTGTAGTGGTATATACCTTTAATCACAGAGACAGAGACAGAGACAGAGACAGAGACAGAAACAGGAGGATCTCTGAGATCAAGGCCAACCTGGTTTATATAGTGAGTTTGAGGCAAGCCAACAGGAGGCTCTCTGAGATCAAGGCCAACCTGGTTTATATAGTGAGTTTGAGGCAAGCCAGGGCTACATTGTTGAGATCCTACAGTCAGAAGAGGAGTTGAAATTGAGATTATGACTGATCAGAGTTCTGAGACAGTTACCATTATCTCTCCTACAACTACATTTGCCCTTACTCCACTAGCCTGTTTGTTGTTTTTGTTTTCTCTTTTCATAACCAAACTCCTCTGTTCTTTCATGGTTCTTTTAATGTGGCCTTTTATGCTCTAGCCAACCCATTTGCCCCAACCAACATTTTATACAGTTTTTACAGCATTTGTCTTTTTCATGTTATTTTCTGTTTGCTTTTTGGTCCAGGTTCTTCACTGTGCCTTGCTCCATTTGCTTTTGGTCTCTACCCATTTCCATTTTTCAGAATTTTATTATATCTATGATTTTGGACACTTGATTATATTTTGTCTTAGATTGTTGATTGATCTACAGATATTTCTTCTTCAATGTGATCTTTGAGTACCTACTGTTTAATGTCTTTTCCAAATGTAAATCATCCTTTTACTTCCTTGCTTAAACTACTTTCTGGTTTCTAGATTTTCCACAAGTCTAAGAATATTAAACTGACTATAGGAAAGTCTCTTAGGATGCAGTGTGCTGTTTGCTATTATTTCATTTCATCAATGATTTACTGTCAGCTCTCTTCATAACTGATCACAATTTTTTATTCATAAATGGCATTTTATTTTTATGGTGTGTATGTGTCTGTGATGATAGGGGTTTATAGTTGGTAGAGATTGTGAATTAGAGAGGACAGTCAGGTTTGGCCTATATTGAATTGTTCTGATGCACAAAGTGAACTAAGCACTATTGTCGAGTAAACTGACTCATCTGTTACCCCGATGCTGTATCTTGTTTTAATTTGTTCTGATTTTTGGTTACAACAGAACTTAAGTCTATCTTCCTTTTGTTTGAGGGCAAGGGCCTTTACCTGCTGAGCTCTCTTCCCAGCCCCCAACTTTGCACCCTTTAATCCATTCAGCCTCATCTCTGTCCCTAGTGATTAAGTAATCAGTTCTGAGGGATTTGGGTTTCATTTTGTTTTGACAGCATTGGGGATTGTGCCAAGGGCCTTACATGGTAAGCAAGCATTTAAGCACCTGGTTAAAGCTAAAATCTCTATGATTTACTTTTTTTTAATCCCACATTTAAGTGAGATTATGTAGTATTTTGGCTTCAGGTTACCTCAGTCATTCTGAATATCAAGACCTCCCCCCCTTTTCTTTTCTAAAGAAACCCCTTTTTTATGCTGAAGAACATTCCATGGTGTTGGGGGAGGGGTGTCCGTGTTTGTGTCCATCCGTTTGTCTGTGTGTGCTCATTCGAAGGTGTATGCTACAGTTTCTTCATCTGCTGACACATTCATGTTTTGTCACCTTTGCTATTGTAAATAAGTCTGCAATGGGCCTAGAGTCAAGGTGCTCCCTTTATCTCTTTGTGGTATGTACTTGAAGAGGTACTGCTGTGCCATATGATGCAATTACAGTTTTCATTTCTGAAATGGCATTAGTTCTTATTTCTCAATGATCAAACCTCATGCTGAACAAAGTTCAGCATCTTAAGTGTCCTCACAGAGCTTCAGAGTAGAAAACTGAGACATCAGAAAGCTATAGCTTCAGGCATGTGATACGGTGTAGATGACTGAGGCTGTTAGGTGTATGGAAGAAGCTGTTCACAGCTGATGTGATACCCCAGAGAATTTGGTACCCATGCTCTGAGGTGGGTAGCCATAGCTCATTCTGTCACAAAGGTGGGAGATTAACCACTAGGAGAATTAGGGTGGTGTTGAAATTAGTCTGGCTTATTATTCAGTGTACCACTATGGTTCTTTTGCTTTGTGAGATGATTTGGAGGCCAATGCCTGCTGATGTTTGAAACGGAACAGAGATGATTGATGATTAAGGACTTCCTAAAAGCAGATTGTTTTCTTCCTGTGAGAGATACTTTGAGCTGTGTAACAAGTAAGATTTGTAATTCTATGCTAACAAGAAGCGGGGAAATAGCTGTCTACTTTCATGGGAAATAGTTAAGAAAAAATTTTGTTTGGTTATTAGAATCACCATTTTTCCTTTCCCCTTACTAATAAGAAGGGGAATTCACATGGTAAATTCACAGAAAATGCTGAGGACTCCATTTTGTTTTAGAAACAGTCACCAGTAAATGTTTAAATTGATGGAAGTGAAAGAGTGTGTTTCAATTATGTGTGGTGATTCTGAAAAGGAAATAGGGGGTAGGAGAAAGTAGTTTAGCAGTGAGCTATAGTCAATAACTAGGTTCAGGAATTAAGGAGAAGAGCCCATAGTTTTTGGGAATGTTGTAAGAGTATCCCAGAATTGTGTGTCCTGAGTTGAGAGTCTAAGATTCTACTAAAACAATAATTAGTAGAATTATTAATTAATGAAACAATAATTTCATTTCAAAATAAACAACCCAGGGATCTCTCTTTTAAGCTTTTGGAGAAGAATTAAGATGAGTTAGTAGGAGTAGTTGTATCAGTTAACACCCACTAACAATCCTCCAAAAAGACAGCACACACAAAAACATTTCACCTGTGTTAATGTACACTTACAGTCCTTTAATTCTGATAAGAGTAGCATGTAGGTCTCAGTACATTCTGAACAAGAGCCTTTGTTCTTTGATGTCTTAAGGGAAATGTTGCTGGGATGGCCAGAGGCTGAAAGCTTTGAGTCACTGCTAGAGACAGTAGCTGGGAATGACTGTCACGTTTGCAGTCATTATTTCTATGGTTTTGGACAAGTTTCTTAACTTACACACTCAAATGGGAGATAATCCAGCCCATGTCTGTGTTGTAGAATATAAAGCTGTGGGGCCTCGAGGCAGAATATTGTGTAGGTATTGTGCAAGTATGTGGGTAGAAAATCTGAGTTTTTAGAGAGCAGCACTTTAATTG